GGGGAGAGAGAAAGAGAGAGAGTTTTTTTTTTTTTTTTAAATATTTTTATAATTTATTTGGACTAATTTGCACTTTTTTAAAAGTTTGGACCTATATTTGCAATTTATTCTTCATTTTTCCTTTTTTTTTTTTGTTTTATTTAAATAAGAGAGTATATTGGTTATTTTACGCTAAAAATTGATGAAAAGCACGTCCAACGCAAAGAAAGGTAAAAGGTGGGAATGAAAATATCAAAAAATGAAAGGCATGAACGATTTTCACAATAAACTAGAAAAATATGGACGTTTTGTGCCAATTAAAAATGATAACCTTAACTCATGGCAACATTGGCTGACATATCGTGCCACAGCAAGACGGTTGCCCAGAATCATAGGAAGCACAAAAACTGCACACCTGCCATTTGTAGTTGCTTCAATTGTCTTCCAATTAAGAGAAAAAAAATTGACATGCAAACCGCATTTGGGAAATTCTGAAAAACTAAATACTTAACAACCATAACGGAATGGTGAAGCGAAAAATTGGACATGTTTGGTAAAACAGATTCCGTGCATAAATAAACTAAAATATGACTTTAGTCATGTCTACAACTGTGTATCAAACGTGCAATGAATGTACAATTACATGCTTCTCCATGAATCCAACATGCCGCAACCTCTTCATGATAAAAGGGGGAAAACAGTGAAACGTAAAGTGGAAACATATTTGAAGATAAATACAATTAGTAACAGATGTTATGTATAGAGAAGCGCGAGGTCATTTAAGTGCAACTGAGAGTACAATATCTGTTGGACGTTGTAGGATGAACAAGGAGAAGAGTGCGGAAACATCTTATTTCTTCACATACTTGCATGATCAACTATATGAGAAACTTCTTCACCTCCAACCATGGATATAAAAAACTTTAGTTCCGCCATCAAAGATCATAATCCACAACACTACTCCCGAAATCTGCATAAATGTAGCCAATTAATTTTTATGCTAGCATTACGCTATAGGTAGTAAACACGAGCAAGATTTTCATTTTGCATCAAATTAAAAACCAAGTACAGCTAATGTAGTCATAACCCAAAGGATTTTGAGTGCAATATGTTCATCCATGTCGTGCAAACATACATCACGACACTGATCTGGTAAGCACGTACTTGATTGATTGTGTTCTTTTAACAATGATCACATCCTTTCTTCCCTCCAAATTTTCCGCTAAACCCAAGAAGCAATCATAAGAATGAAGCAAGAATATTTACACATATTAAGTCTATGCCCCTATTTGAGCCATATTATTTTCATAAGAATGCATTTTTGAATAAAGTATTGATGGAAAATGTGTGGTTAAAAAATAAGGAAATATTTTGAATTTGCGTGTAATATTATTTTATTGAAAAATGTGTAATAGAAATGATGTTAAATCACTGTTTAAAAATATATTTTTTCCAAATAATGTGGATCAAACAGGGCCTCAATAAATTCATATATTCGACATCATCAATGCCAGTGACTTCTGATGAGCTTTAGGGCCATCTGCTCCAGTTCACAAAACTGATATTTGATCATGTAATAACTAATAAAAAAAAGAATAAATACATAATATAATTAAACTAGAAATAAAGTCCAACAGAAAAACAAACAATATTCCTGGGTGCAGTCACCTAGCAGTTCATTAGAAACATTTCACCAAATAGGATAAAACATAAACTCTCTAATATACAAAGAAACAGGACATCTATCTTCAATGGCACCTAATATTCCAATTTCTTATGAAGATCCTTTGCAGGAGTGCCTTTAGCATTCTACCATACCTTATTCATTTTAACATTTATCCTTCTATTACTTTTCACCCAAATATGAGAAATAAACTGGTAGAATTCTGGCCAAAGAAAAGTAATTTTACCCTCAACAGAGCAATTAATCCACAAAATGGAGCATAAAACTGTAAAGGAAAAAAGATTTATAAGGAAGGAAATGGTCAGTATTGCATAAAACTGAGAACGGTATGAAGAAAAATGAAAATGGCAGGTTTCGAGAGCTGCCCCTCTCCCTAGTGATTTAGAAAATTCCCACCCTCTGAATTAATCTTCTAGACTCTGTCACATCACTTTTATTCTCTCCTAAGAACCCTCACATCAGCATAACTAACTCATTCCCCATAAAACCTATTCCCTAAAACAGCCCCACCGTGGTTAGCTAGACCTCCTTACAACGCCTCTCCTACATAAATCGTATGTGGCTTATCATAAACCCAAAATTTTTGAAAACCTGTTCCCAGTCATTTACCTATGAGCTCGACTACTCTGCAATTCCAGTTGAAGCATCCTCTTTAACAGGCCAAGAAACTATACCACTAGACTTGAAGTATGTGATGCAAAAATAAAGTTACCTTCAGCAAAACACGTATATTGCATTTTGTAAATTCCTCATGCAACTGATAGCATGGCAGGTAAACTGCCTAGTCTACAGATACAAAAATACAAAATAATTGAAACCATAACAACTGACCTAACCAGACACATTCTGGAGGGAAATGTCAGCAAGACTGTTACCTTCTTAACAAAATGACAGGCTGGCACCTAATTCAATATTCCATACTATTCCATAATTTAAGTGCATTATTATTATTTTCACTTTTGCATACCCTCCTAATCCAGGGGCATGAATTATTGTTTCTGCAATTCAACCAAACAATAGTCCAGAATCCCAAGTTACAAACTATCTGTTTTCCCTATCTCATTTAAAAAAAAAAAAAAAAGGCTTTTGCAAATCTTAGGATTTTCAACTTTAATGCATACAGATGATCATTGGTAATTTAGTCCTCAAAAGTCACTACTTTTTAACCAGCATTGACAATCCACTGGATTCTGTATTGACTAGCAGTACAGCAATCAACTAGCTTCCTTCATTTGCAGAAATAATTCAAACTATGCTTCCTCCGATAGATAGTGAAGCGAATCCTAAACTTCATTAAAAATTAACTGGACTTGGTTTGACTACTTGCAGTAACCCAACCAAGATTTTTCATTTATAAAGAAAATTTCCTGTAGTGTTCCTCCAACAAAGAGTGAAAGCACATACTCAAAAATTGTGTTTGGGTTGATAAATTCAGATTTCAGGATGCATTTGACCTAGGATGAACTAAAGAACCCAATGAATTTCAGAATGGTTTCTATTTTAATCATTGACTGGATAACAGAAAGATCTGGTTAAGTATATACAATACGTGGCTTTCTCTGAGGAAAAAGAAAATTAGAGAAGGATAGAGGAATGCAAAATGAGTGAATTTCATATACATCATAAGCAGTTATATAATGCTTATTCTTTTGGCTAACAATTTCAAATCCCATTGGCTAGAACTATGCAGCAAATGCACAGATTTGAGATTCCATAGGACCAAATCTTATGAAAAAATGGATTCTAAAATCTATCCTTTGCGCAAGCAATTATGAATATGTGTGAATAATGAAATACAATTAATTCATTCACAAATAAATTTGCACAACTCATGAAATCCTGCCAGAAAAACAGAAATCCGATCACCTAAATAATCTCAAGAAACCTTAGATTTTTCAAATAACTTCCTAGTTCTTTCTAGCCTTTTCTCTTTTCTCCACAATCAGACGGCTGGGTGTCAAACCCTACCCATTTCCAACACTGTGACGACATTTAAACAAACCCATCAATTTTCACTTTTGCCTTTGGCACTAAAGATTGCATCTCTATTTTCAAATAAAATAAGGTAAAGAATATAAAATCAATCGATACAAAAATTAATCAACAAAATATAATAGAAATTTAATTCACTTTTACCAAAAAAAAAGTCAGCGACGATTTGATTCATTTCTTTCCTTTTCAATTTGCTGCTTTTGCTTCTCGACAAGCTTATCAAGAGCCGACTGCACAGCATCCCGCCCTCCAATCAACAGTCGAGTAACAACTTCCGGATCCTTCTCGAACCGGGCCTCTTCGAACTCCTTGCGAGCATTCTCTCTCAATACATCGCGCCAGAGGACACCTCGAGAATCCGGCCACATGAAGAAGCGGGTAGCTCGTATAATGTCTCGATACAGACTCAGCGCCTCTCGGCGATTGCTAGTGAGTCGCTGCCGAGTCAGCAATTCGTTGTCTTCAGAATCAGTTTTATCTTTTTTGACTACGTGTCGGTCAAGGAGCTCCTCCACGGTATCCGGGCCGTTGTGTATCAATTGACGGCGGAGATGCTGGTGGTGGAGTGATTGGGTGCGGCGGAGTAGATTTAATGCGGTGTCCATGGGTCGACATTTTTGGAGATTTGTGATCATTTTTATTTTGTCTTTAATTTACCGTTCCTAACTTCCTTTAAAATGGTTGACAAGTATTTCCAACTAAAATCGTGTTTATTTACACCCAGCGAAACACGTTTTACGTGGACAAAAATGGAGGCGATGCCGCCACTGTATCGGAACTTTTACTTGCCTTCTCTTTTCATTTTCTCTGTGAAACGTCGGAGTAGTCTTTAGACCTCGTTTGCTAGAAGGAAATTGAGCAGGAAAGAAGCCTCCAATTCCAATGGCTCTCACCAAACTGAACTCGCGCTTCAACTTGTCTCCCCATTCCATTTTTCCTCTCTCAAAACGCGCCCTAAAGCCCTATTCTGCCTCCTCAGACGCACTCGACATTCAAAACGACATAGCAGAAGTCGATAGCGCCAACGCCAACTTATCCCCGGCGGAAACTTTAATAGCCGATAAATTCTACTCCTTAATCAAAGACCATTATCGGAAAAACCCTAATCCCATAAACCCTAGCAGTAACCTCTTAAACCCTAGCGTAACATTCCCAACTCTTTCTCACGAGTTCTCCAAAATATCCGTAGTTAATTCCCTCTCCCCTTCTTTAATCCGCTGTGTACTCGAGAAATGCTCCGCCCTCCGCCACGGCATTCCCTTTATTCAAGCACTTGCCTTCTTCAATTGGGCCACGTCACCATCGAATTTGTCTGAAATTTCACCTTTATTGGTGGAGGCCTACAACAAAATGATCGACCTTTCTGGAAAGGTGCGTCAATTTGATGTCTCCTGGCACTTCATTGATTTAATGAAATCGAAAAGTATAGAAATCCCAATTGAAACTTTCTCGATTTTGATTCGCCGTTATGTCTTAGCTGGGTTGGCTGCGGAGGCCATACATGCTTTTAATAGAATGGAGGATTATGGTTGCAAGCCTGATCGCAATGCGTTTTCTATAGTGATTGGTATATTATGTAAGAAAAGAAGAGCGGTGGAAGCACAAGCATTTTTTGATAGTTTGAAGGATAAGTTTGAGGTGGACATTGTGTTGTATACCAGTTTAGTGCACGGGTGGTGTCGGGCTGGGAATATTTCTGAGGCTGAGAAGGTGTTTCGGGAAATGAAGGAGGCTGGTATTCAGCCCAATGTGTATACCTATACCATTGTGATCGATGCTTTGTGTAGGTGTGGCCAAATTACAAGAGCACATGATGTTTTCTCAGAGATGATTGACGTGGGATGTGTACCAAACGCAGTTACTTTTAACAATTTAATGCGGGTTCATGTAAAGGCTGGGAGGACTGAGAAAGTATTGCAAGTATATAACCAGATGAAGAGGCTTTCATGTGAGCCGGATTTGATCACGTATAACTTTTTGATTGATAGTCATTGTAAGGACAAGAATCGAGAGGAGCCAATTAAGGTGCTTAATACAATGGTTAAGAAAGGATGTGAGCCAAATCCCTCTAGTTTCAATCCAATTTTAAGGTGCATCGCAGAAGCCCAGGATGTAAATGCTGCACATCGATTATTTGCCAAGATGAAGGAGTTAAATTGTAAGCCAAATACTGTGACGTATAATATATTGCTCCGGATGTTTGCTGAGTCTAAATCAACTGATATGGTTCTTAAAATTAAGAAAGAAATGGATGAAAGTGATGTTGAGCCTAACGTGAATACTTTCAGAATTCTGATTTCAGTGTACTGTAAAATGGGTCACTGGAATAATGGATACAAGTATCTCAAAGAGATGGTTGAGGAAAAGCGTTTGAGACCTGGTATGCCCGCCTGCAAAATGGTTTTGGAGCAGTTAAGGAAAGCAGGGCAGATAAAGAAGCATGAGGAATTGGTAGAAAAAATGGTGGGCTTGGGGTTTATAACTCGTCCGTTGTAGGAACGGTGCTCCTGTGCTGATCATATGGCTAATTTTGCTTCATTAGATATTCTGCTATTCGAATTTTGTGAGTTTTGCCGAAACCATTTGTTTTGATGTAGGAAATTGTAGTTCTGAAATTTTGTTAGCTCTGCCAATTGCCATTCCAGTTTTGGAATATCTTCATTGTAGTTCCAATCGATAACTTCTCTTTGATTCTTTGATAATTGAAGTTTTAATATTATATCAGGCATCATGGTTCGTGTCTGTATAATTATTTGGAATGCATATCTTAAAACTTAACTGAAGATGTTCATAGTTCGTCTTTATTTCTATTTTCTTGCTTTGACATAATTGGTGATGCCAATTCATCATGGCTTAGCTCCCTACTGCTACTATGATTTGATGAACACCTCACCAGAAGTTACATGCATGGGACTGCTCAAGCACAGGAAAAACAAGGTCAACAAAAAGAAACATGTTTCACAGACGGCAGCCGAGGCCACTGTGCCACGGCCGAAGAAGAAACCATCAGCCACCATTCTGAATATTTTTAGCAGAAGCGAGATTGATATTTTGAGGCATTAATACCAAATGGAATATATATAATTGAGGACGGTTCATTTCCATAACAATTGAGTTCATAAATTCACACAGAATTTTAGTTCTTTCATAATTCATAAAAACACTACCATTAATTCACTCACCGTGTAAAAGACTATGCAATTTTTTTCATTAAAACCGATATTTACATTAATTTGATATGTAACTTATATACATAATGATAATAATAATATTTAAAGACGCTGAGGAGTAGACTTTGGTGAGTTTGAATTCAATGATTGGGTAAGCTTTCGATCCATCCTCCTAATTTTCATTGATTTGGCCTATATCATTATTGAATAATCAGAATACCCTCAATTCATTTTTAAGGACATTAATGTAAGTATTATGTCCTAAATTCAATCAACATTGGACATAAATACTTTTAATATATAATTAATGCAATTTAATGACAAATATATTATTTAATTAATAGATAATTAAATTAAATATTAGAGTCCGTAGATTTAAATATTCTTAATTTGTTAATCACAAAGAGTTGTAATTGTGAGATACAAATTACATATGATTGAATCTTAAATCGTCCGTGGCTGCAAGTAATAACGAGATACGGATATCGTTATTACGAATAGACCATCACGTGTGACATTTCTTACTTGTGAAGTCTGATCTCACAAGTTAAAGTATTGTGACACTTAAATGAACACGTGGATATTTTGTTATAGGACAAAACATTGGAGACCCGCTGAGAGATTCCAAATTGATAACTATCTAAGTGTCAGTGATTAATCTCTAACTAACGTTAGGTAGTGGGATTGGTCCTTTGACTTGAGGTCGTCATAGTACTTTATATGAGGACAGTCATGCTTTGACGGTGTTGGATGTTGCTCTACCAAGGGCCGCTAATACGACATCGTTTGAGTATGTCAAGAATCGTATGAAGGTTGTGAATGACCAATAAATGATTCTTCACTCTTAGATAGTGAGAGATTATGATCTACGTTTCATTCAATTAAGTCGATAACGAAATCATTGATCAAGGTGTACTCATAAGTCAAAAAAGAGTTTTCAACTTATATTAACTTAATAGTTAAATGGAAGATATGATCGATAATCGAGATTTACACACATTCATATCTCGTAATTGATCGAATCATATTGACGAAGAGATTATAATTTCACGGTAAACGAACAAGTTTGGTTGTCATACCATGTGACATTTCCCGTCACATGTATTGCCTTAACACATTCCTAAATGTCAATTTGGGACGGTTAGCGTGAATTGGTGATAAATTAAAATGGTGTTTTAATTTATCAATTTTGATTAGATCAAAATAAAATTTCACGTCGTTAGGTATCATGATTGGAAACCTGATGAGTCACACATAAAAGGAGAACTGAAAGATTGTGATTTGTCAATTAATTAATTTAACAAGCGTTGGATAAATTGATTAATTGTGTTACTTATTTATAGGCCTGATTGAATTAATTAGATTAATTAATTCAAAAACCAGATTTAATTAAATGAGTTAATTAAATATTGGATCGAGTCAGATTAAGCCATTTGGATTTATATAAATAAGTGATTAGGATTTACAATTTTAGAGGATTCATTATTTTTGCTAGTACAAAAAAAAAATCACAATCTTACAATCTTATTCTTTGTGTAGATCACCTTGGAGGCTGAACAATTGAACAGTTGTGGATAGCGAATCAAGATCGTTAGAACAAAGAATAACAAATGAGTTTGCAGATCTGGAAAAAGGTACAATCTCTATCACAGTTTCTATCTAAACACAAAGATGAATTCTGGTGAGAATTGAAAATTGTTTTATATTCTGCTGCGCATGTTAAGTAGATTCCCAACAATGAATTCACATATTAATGAGATTTACAAGCTAATTCGACCCATCTTCCTAACTTTGGTTTATATTATCTTATACGTAGATAATAATTTTCTAGTCCTTCAATCTCCCTAATTTATATTCCACAGAAACATGATTTTATACACCAAAAGTTAAGAAATTTCTCATGTTTCTGTGCAATGTTCCTCTCTCTCCCTCCCTCCCTCCCTCCTTTAAGAATAATAACAACATACCAAGATGATGAATGAAGAAAGGCCACCAAACGAATGTGAATGTGAAGCTATTTTGGATCTTCTTTCTTCCAGAATGGAAGAAAGTGAGTTTCTTCTGAAGGTTCAAACCGAATTAGGAGTTTGCACAAGCACAATGCAAAACTAATTAGTTAATACAATTTAAAATCCAAATAATTGCAAATTTGGATATCCTTATTTGTACCCTTTACTTTGTTAATTATTATGTTTTAGTGGACAAAAATTCATCATCCACAAGGATGGTTGATTCTTTGAGTAAATTAAAACATTTTAATGCATTTGTTCAAATTTTTGGAGCGTACTTGCAAAAATAGTATTAATACTTCAAAAATATTATACATATCATTCATCCAATACATAAGATGTTCAACGCACTAGTTTATACTAAAGTATCAATATGAACGAGAAAGTCAACGAAAAAAATGAAAGAGAAAGTCAATTAATCCCTACATATGGCAATATTGAGAATGGAATATAATTTATCTATCGATATTCCTCATCGAGAACTCGTACTAGAATGAGAGTAATAATGGATATAAAAGGGGGATTTGTAACTGAGTTCCTTTAAATTTTAATTTTCAAAAACTTCACCAAGTTAAACCTGAAAATTGGCTACTTAGTGTAGGGAAAAATTGGAGAATCAGCACGGTTTCCTTAAATCGAATTCGCCGCCTCACCGGAGTGCAAGAGGTGTTAATCGGTGTTCGATTCCCAGGATACAATCGGTTGACGGTTCACTCTGCACAACGTTACCGACCTACGAACTAGCTGTGTCTATCTCTCAAAGAACTTTAGCAAAGAAAAGAAAAAAAAACCGGGGTTGCTGGAAATGGAGGAGGAAACTGAACTTTTTTTTTCTTTGTTGTGTTTTCCTTTTTTTGTTGTTGTTGTTTCTAGCCGAGAGTGATCCTCTATTTATACCAATATAGGAGGAGCTTGCTCATAAATACATTGAATAGGGAGTTACAACATGGATGAATGAATAGGGTGAAACCGACATATTTCAAATGGGAAGTTACAACATGGATGAATGAGTAGGGTGAAACCGACATAATTCAAATGGGAAGTTACTGATGTTTTCATACGTATTCAACATGCATTCAAAATGATGAAACTGACAGCATTCAACATGCATTCAAACTGATGAAACTGATGTAGTGAACATTCAAAACGTAACTAACTTTTCATTCATCATTCAAAATATTCATTCAAAATATTCTAACAGTCCCCCACATGAATGAAAAATTTTGAAAATAGAGACTCAAGAGAGGAAGAGAGAGTAAAACGAATCAATCCTGCATAGGATAGGTAGCATTTAGCTTTGAACCTTCCCTCATGAAAATCTATCGAGTATTACCAGCAAACTAGTGGATCTGATACCTTGAACTGTTTCGCCATTTGTGTAAATCAAGACAATAGACCTCACACAGGACCATTCTAGACACAGCATAGTTCTCAATGTTGTGTTCGTTTTGGCCATGAACACGTCGCCTGGTTCTGCAAGTGTTTGTTCAAAGATGTAGCCTTCCCAACCCATATAGAAGCGGCCCCACTTCACACTCACATAGGTGACCTCTTAACTCAGTCTTTCACAACAACGTTAATGGTCATTAAAAGCATAGCTTAAACTGCATCTTCCAATCACTGTGAGCACCATAGGAATGAGTAGAAGGAGAACCTTCTCAGTGATTCACACAGATATACATGATTTAGTTGTCCCTTTGAACTTAGATCTTGGGATCACCATTCAGCTAGGTTGGGTTTCCACTATGATATCTTTCAACGTCATAGGCTGCAAGCCCATTCCACTCGATGCTTTTTCAACTAGCTCTCGAGTTATCCCTTTTGTTAGTGGATCCGCAATATTATCCTTTGACTTCACGTAGTCCAGAGTGATAATACCTTGTGAGAGTAGTTGTCGAATGGTATTATGTCGTCTTCAAATATGTCGAGACTTACCATTATATATATTGCTCTGTGCCCTACGAATTGCTGATTGATTATCGCAATAAACACAAATTGCAGGCACAGGCTTTGACCATCTTGGAATATCCTCAACAAACTGGCGAAGCCACTCTGCTTCTTCAGTTGCTTTGTCCAAAGCGATGAACTCTGATTCCATTGTAGATCTTGCGATGCAAGTTTGTTTGGATGATTTCCAAGAGACAGCTGTACTACCAAGAGTGAAGACATATCCACTAGTAGACTTGGAATCTGACATATCTGATATCCAATTTGCATCAGCATACCCTTCAATTACTGCAGGGTATCTAGAATAGTGCAGTACAAAATCACAAGTGTACCTTAAATAATGTAACACCCTGAAAATGGCTTTCCAGTGGATAGCACCTGGTTTACTCGTGTAGCGACTCAATCTGCTAACTGAGTATGCTATATCCGATCTCGTACAAGTCATTAAATACATTAAACTCCCAATTACCCGAGAATATTCTAACTGTACACACCATCACCAGTGTTCTTGGATAAGTGGAGACTCAAATCCACTGGGGTCCTGGCCACAGTAGTATCTGACTTGTTGAACTTGTCTAGTATCTTATCAATGTAATGAGATTGAGATAACACAAGTCCATTTGGTGTTCGAGTAATTTTTACTCCCAAAATG